GTTCTCACTGTATTCAAACAACAGAAGGTCTCTGTCGCATCCTGTCGTTATCTTACCAGTCGTAGATAATAAACAAAGGTTTTGGGTTAAGTGAATGGGTCACTGTTCTCTTGTAAACATGGGCAGAGTTTGGAGCGTTAACATCTCACTCCAAGTTATTGCTACAGCTCCTTGTATCTATAGTTGGACCATTGGTTGAAAAGACTTAAGTGCAAATACAGCGTTTCCACATAAGATAGGAGATTGCAATCTAGTAACCAGAACAACTGCTGGTGGGCCCAATCAAATGGCTTGATGGGCCAATTTTGGCTCGCCCATCCTCACTTTGGGCACCTCTGGCCTAAAGTATTTACTCAGCTGCAACATAAAATAACAATACAAATATGAACTGAATTTAGTTTACCTTTAAAAACCACATTATACAGTGTATGACCATTTCAAACCACTCTAGGGCAAACTCATTTATCTATGAATATCACAAGACAATATCTAACTAGGCGGTGTGGCTAAGAGCACTGTGGTTTAARAGTTTGCTCATGACCAAAGTGGCAGAAAGTAAATGACATTTAACCCTTTCACAACATGAATTTGAGTTGCATTTTCTGGGTGAGAAAGATCACAACACTATTGTTAGTACTGAAGCAGAAGAAAGCATGATACAGTTAATTCATGTCAAGCAAAGCCTGAAGAAACATTACAATGTGCACTTTGAGCACACGAGAGACTAATTGGAATCAAAGTCCCATATTTTAACAGGTCATCTTACTTGCTTTTCACTTGCTAGATGAATCACTTGCCAACCCTGAAAGAGAGAAAGCTCAGCAGACTCGTATTGTCTGCCTTGAGGCACAAGCAATTCTGGTGTCAAAAGTAAGTCTAAGTACAGCAGCATTCATTACTTCAGAGAAGGCATTTTTGCACAAAGTCTCAAGAATATGGCCTTTGACTTTCTCCGAGACCCATAAATATGGCTTTTGTGTGAGTCTTTTATTTTTCCTGTGATATATAGAGTGCTGTATGCTCTTTTTTTGTAGTCTGAGATCAGATTTTTGTTGTCCCCCATCCTGGAGTGAAGTGGGGATATTGAAAATACTCGCCATTCATCCATCTTGTGAGCTGGACAAAATATTTGAGATAACTTTCATTTTGATGTGTTTGATGCTTGAGTTAACTTAATAAACAGTTTTTGTCTAAAATAAGGTTCATGAACAGAAGCTTGGAGGTTTCACTGTGATGCCAACTTTGTTGTAAAGCTCAAACCTCTCAATATTCACTGACAGTATAAGTGTGTAGTGGTCACCCTGGGTGGAATAAACGTTCCACCTGCCTTTGAACTTGACCACGGAAGGCCTCCTTTAAAGAACAGAACTCTATTCATTTTATGGTCATAACATGTTTTCTTAAACAATTAAGGGACATTTTATTTCATTTTATTCTCTATAATCAAGATAATAAACTACTGGTGGGATTATTAACTTTTCTTCCAGTGGATTACAGACACTGTCGTCCAATGGATTGAAGAAACTTTATCCTAAGGAACTCTCAACAGACGTTAAGAAGAAATAAACATTTCCATATGTCTTTGAGTTTACTTTTTAAATA